ATACATGCATATATACATGCATGCACAGGTGCAAGCATACTCACGTACATAGACCCACACATTGCATATACACAGGCATACACATACACATGTATATGTGCATGTGTGCATTCACGCATGTATACACGTCTGTGTACATGTGTGCATGTATGTATATAAGGATGCATGGGTCGGTGGGGGGATAAATAGATGGATGCATTCGTGGGTCATTGGGTGGGTGGGTGGATGGGTGGGTGGGCGTGTGGTGGATGGGTGGGTGGGCGTGTGGTGGATGGATGGATGGATGGATGGATGGATGGACGGATGTATGTATGTATGTATGTATGTATGTATGTACGTATGAATGCATGTATGCACGTGTGCACGTATATGCATGTATACGCATGTATGCATGCATTCATGCATGCATGGAGGTATGCACGCATGCATGTATGCATGTTTTGGAATCGACACAGCTAACGACTAACCCAGTGTGCAGTTCTCTCATGTTCTCTGGATGTTGCTACTGTATGGATGTGGATAGTTCTATCAAGCAGACACCGCTCGCACTGCTCCGATGCCGTGCCTGCAGGTGCGAACTGCCTCTTTCGGCAAGTCCACAACGATGCGATCAAGCAACTCGTGGACTGCTGCATTGCCAATATATACTACCATTATTATTATTCTTATTATTACTATTACTATTACTATTACTACTATTGCTATTATTATTATTATTGTTATTATCATTATTATTGTTACTATAACAGCACCGAAGATGCAAGCTACCTCCAGTGTAGCGAAGACACAGGACGGGCTCGAGTACCATGAAGTCTATGCTGGTGATCGAGTCATCACCGAGGGATCCGTGGGCTCGCACCTTCCCTGAAATATGTCGCGAGCAGACGTCTCGCAGTTCTTCAGATTAAGGGGGCTTTACTGCATCGGACCATAAGGCGCTTCTACCTTGCGCATGGCGTCGGGCTGGAAACAGTGCTTCGCGGAGTGACCGCTGATCGCTCAGAGGACCTCCTTGCTTCACACCGCTACCCTAAACCCTAAACTAGCAGGTCAGCAGCATGCCTGCCGGACAAATCTTCGGCGAGCTTTCGCTACTGCACAAGCGGTGGCCTCAGTTTGATGCCTTCCCTGCCTGCATGGCGAGGAAAGGATGTAAAGGCAAGAATTGGGTTCATCCACTACGACACTACGACATAATGATGAGGAGGATGGTGTTAATGTTGATGGTGGTGGTGATGGTGACTTTGATCGGGAGTCGAGCATTCAGCCTGCACGCGCTTTCATGCTCTTTCGGACGTGGCCCCGACGGGTGGAGAATTTGGTATGCAGGACGCCTACTTCTTTATGTTCGGCCAGAGGTCTCAGCAACAAAATGCAGACCCCTCCGCAAAACTAGACCCCCCGCATGATCCACGTCGTCAGAAGATCAGAGTTGAATCATGAAGGTGCCCTCACACATGCTCAGTGGTCGCCACCCGACGGGTTGGCGTTTGGGCAGCGGCCAGCGACAAATTTCGGCAGGCATTCGCACGGCGTGTGGTGTGATGATGTTGAGTTACAGTCGCCGAATGCTCACCCGCCCGCGAAGCCAGGCGATCCTGTCAGCCGTGAAGCGGCAGGCCCGTCCTTTGCACGCGTGTCTACATGATGGGATGAAGACACGAATGAACGAATCTATAGGCAAACAATACACACTTCTCACGTGCCGAGGTTTCGGAAGTGAGGGCCTTTCTGGAAGAGGTGAGCTTCGCTGCTGTTGTGCTGGAAGTTGTTTGCGCTGATGTACAGAACATGGCCCGAAGCTTAGGCCGGGAACGGCAATAGAACGTACAGTTGCAGGTGCCCCTTCTACAGAATTTGTCCGCTCGGGAGCTGGACTGCGTGTCCGACATGCTACGACCTTGGAAAGGAGGTTTTCTCAGTGGCCGTTTCCTGGCGTGGGATTTCCGACAAGGTCCTATGTCAGATCTTATGCAGCTGGCGACAAGCCACTGCAAGGTGGTGTAGAGTACGGCCCCCATACGCCTGAGCAGGCTTTGCAAGCTTTGCGCATGGTCACCTGGCGCCCCAAGGCTGACCCACGCTTTCTTCGTAATGTCGGGGCAGCTGAAATCCTGGAACTCGGCCGGTAAGGAGGACAGGGCCGGAGTCGTGTGAAGGCCAATCTCTCCAGAGTGCCTGAGTGTGACGCCGAAGGAGGAACTTCTGGAAAGTGGCCAGTGCATCGGTCCGCCTCGATTTTTTCCTTGCACGTGGAAGGTCAGAGTTAGACTCCTTCCCTTTTTTTTGCAGGTGAGCGCTTGCTGCTGTATGGAGATGCCTCTGCGGCCTGAATCACAGCGCTCTCCCAGCGTCTGCTACGAGCAGCTCATGCAAGCATGCTTCGTATTCAGGCGAACCTGGAAGTCACAAAGCGATGTGATCTCGTTTTTGTGAATGTCAGCTCCGGCAAGTTTTTAGAGGGTTCTGAATCTCCTGGAGGAGTTTGCAACTGCGTCTCTGATATTGGATGCCAGGCACGGAAGATGCGACAGCTTCTGGGCAAGCAAGAGATTGCCATCAAGCTGCAGCAGCCCAGACTTATGCTGCCACCTCAGCAAAGCGCCTCGTCTCCTCGTCGGCCTCGTAGCGAGGCCTCGCAGATTTTTCTAGATCCGAGGTCCAGCTTGCACTCATCTCCTGCACTTTCAGCTTTGGCCCCAAGCCTTTCTCCCCCATGATGCCATGTGCATCCCGTACTCGCGACTTAGGAGCAGCCCCAGTCGCTTGTCGCCCAGCTGGCGAAGTCGCTGGAGCTGAGCGAGTATATGCCAGGCATCCAGCACTAAAGCACGACATACTATGATCCCGTATGGTATACCGTGGTATACTGCGATATGCTACGTATGATATGCTATGATATACTTTGGTATGTTATGATATACTATGACGTACCATGATGTGCTATAAGTGTCTTGGCCCTGAACAGAAACCAGCATCGGAGCCCTCGCGCAGGAGCGAAGATACCCCCTTCCATCGGCCTCTTCGTGGTTCTTGACGGAGATGTTCAGGCCGGCTTTTCGGAGGGGGGTTTAGGGTTTAGAGGGAGCTTCAAAGAGGCTTCAAGGGGTCTTCCATCCCTCATTGCCAAGACACTACGAGCAGTTGCAGACGGCACACCTTGCGCTAAAACCAGCAAGTAGATTAGATCCTGACACGCTCAGCCCTGAGCAGAACCGAGCAAAGATATGCCAACAAAGGGACAACGCGCCACCTAAATCCCTAAACCCTAACCCCCCCCTCCCCCCCCAACAAAAAAAAAACATACACAACAACAAAAAAAACAGAAAACCCCTGAAACCTAAACAAGGCAGTTAGAGAGGTCAGAGCTAGCTTTTCCCGGCCAGGCCGGCCAGCGCCCTTCCGCCCGGATCCTTCGAGCGGGGACGGTGGAAGTTCCGCCGGCCGCTTTTTGGACACAGGGAGGCGGGCTCGGATCTAAGTGTTTTTGGTCCATTTGCCTCCGGCCCCTTGCTCAGGATTTCTAGGATTTCTCGGGTTTCCGCGGTTTAAGGCTGCAGGATTCAGCGTCACTCAGGGTTATTTGTTATTCGATTTCGGGGTTTAGGGCTTCGGGTGCTTCGGAGGCACGGCCGATCGCCGCGTGCTTGGATCAGCCCGGGCCCAAGGATTTGGGGGAAACGCTGGCGAAGAGAGAGACAGAGATCCTGAACCCACGACAGCTTCACACGGGGGAGTTTACGTTGCTGTGCAGCAAGCAAGCAAGAAGTGAAGTGAAGAGAGAGCGTGAGGCCGGGTTATATACTGAAGTCCTTTGGCTGAGTTGAAGAGACAGTCCCTGGTTCTTCCTTCCAAGGCTCATGAGTCCCATTTCGTTGCTGGTCACACCGGCTGCCGGCTTGCGGTGCTGCCAGCACTCAGGCGTGACGGCGATGCAACGGATCAGGGAAGCATAGCAGTATGCACTTGAGTCGAGTCTGCCATCGAGGGCAGATGATGCTGCTGGCATGAAAGCGAGAGTCCTCAACGTGCTGTCGCGAGCGGCGATCTCAGCATGGAAGTACAAAGTCCGAGCGGAGGCCTCACGTGACGACTGCTAAGGTATCGATTTTCAGGCAGGTGCAGGAGGTGGGCGCAAGTAGGAGGCTGCAATGCAGTTAAGATTTTAGCCGTGCTCCAGCTCGTGGGAGGCGACACTGGATGTGCTTTTCCAGTGCGTTAAAACGCAGCTGTACCGGAACGGAGAGCAGATCGTGCAGCAAGGCTGTACCTGCAACAGTGGGTGTGTTCCTCCCGGATGTTAGACCTAAACCCTAAACCCTAACCCCTAAACCCCTAAACCCTAAATCCTAAACCTGAGTAGTGCGGACACTGAAGCAGCTGTCGCCGAAAATCGTTTTCTGCCAGCCCGTGCCATGGGAGCAGCGTGAGGCGAGAAGGGTTCCCACTTCTACGTCATTGCCACTGGGGAGGCGCTGACCGCCAGACTTGCCTTAATCTGTGCACGGATATCGTCCCCCATCCGTGTGCTGGTTCTTCCAGAAACCTTCACAGCTGAGAGCGTCATCGACACAACTGCCGTCAGAGTCTGCGTCGTTAAGCTGCCCTTGTGAGAATTGGTGTTGGTGGCCCGAGGCACCACTCCTTCCTTCGATCTAGGTAGTGTGAGCTCACCTGTCGGAGGTGGACATGGTCAAGGACGGTCATTCTGTGAGAAGGCTTGACATCGAATGCACGCTTGTTCTCCATGTCCTTGCCAGTCAATGGTCTGGAATGGTCTCGAGGAGGGCGTCCTTGTCGTCAGAATTCGTCAGGCTGGTCCAGGGCGGCTGCTTCGGCGAGCGCGCCGTGCTTTTTGCGGAGCCGTGGTCGACGTCTTTCACTGTGGTTATGCGCTTAGCGCCTTTTCCATCTGCAAGACAAGGATGATGTTGTGACCGAAGAGCTACATCAGGTGGCAGCGGAATGTGAAGTGTGGTTCTGGGATCGCAACACATTGCTCCAGGCCTTCGAAGCCTGTTGCTTGCAGAGACAGTAGGCTGCTTCATTGCAGGAAAAAAGTAACCTGCGCTTGCCAGGCTCTTGCAAAAGAGAGCCGAGCATCTGAACAACTCGGGCAGAGGGCGTCGCTCCAAGATCCGGGAGTGGGGCCGGGCACTCGGTTCGTGCACATGGGAAGCGTCGGTCAAAATATAAAATATATAATATATAATACATAGTATGTAATATATTATATATTATATATAAATATATAAGAAGACAGATCCCGAGGCTGCAGGACTTGAAGAAGCTTGGTCAAGTCGGCACTGGAACATCTGGTACAGTCTGGCTTGTCATGGCCTCGGTTTCCTTTCAGGCACAGGCGTACGTCTGGTGCCTTGCCCATCGGCCAGGTAACGAACGTGAAGACCGATGCCAGATATGCATTGAAAAGGGTCAAAACGATCGATGGCAAGGCCGCACCCTCGACGTCCGAAAAGCAAAAGACCCAGCATGCAGACAGAGGCTTGATGACTGAGGTCCCGCAGGAAGTCCAGCGCGAGATCCAGATTCTCTCCGAAAACGACCATCCATTTCTCATGCAAATGGCCGGCTCCCTGGTGCTTAGGGTTGAGGGCTGTATGTGCAAGGATCTACGAGCCACTGTGAAACAGAAAGTCGCGGTTGTCAGGTGAAGTCTATGCAGACGCACTCGCACATCTACGTCCTGGCCGAATATGTCGGAGGCGGCGAGTTGCTTTCTCAGAAAGCTTCCGTGGCATCGGGTCTTTAAGCTGTCTGTTGTCGATGGCCACACCCCGAGAGTCTACTGAGGCTTTACGCAGCAATGCGGTCAATCTCGACAGTGTTCAGCCGTCAGCAAGCCATGTCGGCTTCTCAGATCTGCTGTGTGAGAACAGAATAAATACGTTGGCGGTGTCCGTCCGTGCCAGGTTCTGTGTGGGCTCCCTGCTTTTGATGCTGGAAGCGCTCCATGAGCGGAATGTGGTCTATCGCGATCTGAAGCCAGAGAACATCATGTTGGATGCCGAGGCCAAACGATCTTTTTCATTTCGGAGGGGTTTGACCCGATCACGCATGTAGCTGTACCTGCATGCAGGGCTACCTGAAGCTGGTAGACTTCGGAACTGCCAAGAAGCTGGAAGCCAAATGTGGCAGAACGTTCACCTTGGTCGGCAACGCCCCAAGATTTTTTGCCTCACGCATTCCAAAGGATTCTGGGTTTGCTGCAGCATCTGGCCGGATGTTGTTGGTTTCAGTCTGCCTGGTTAAGATTGCACATTGACTCTGATGCTGTTCCCCAAGTAGCTGCTATCGGGGAGTGCTTGGAGTGGGGCCTGGCCGAGCAAGGGCAAGGGCGAGCATCACGAGAAGCTTGCTTTCCATGTTACTGAGTGTGTCGGGAAACGAGTCAATAAGTTATTTCCCGTCACTGCTTCGTGCAGTGCCTGTGAGTCCACTGGAGGCACGACCCACTACATGGCTCCGGAAGTGATGCGCGGCAAGGGCTATGGTTTGGAAGTTGACGTCTGGCTCCTAGTGAAGCCGCCTCGTCGGCATGCCATCTCTGTGGTTCGGCAGTGCAACCGTGCCGTCAGGTTTGGGCATTGGGAATTGTCCTCTACGAGCTTGCCCGGCCAATTTGGCTGACCGCATCGTATTAAAATCTTGCTTGGACGCGCATCTCGTTGCAGGCTCCTGTGTGGTCATCTTCCCTTCGGAGAGAACGCCGACAATCCGCGAGAGGTTCATGGACCCCTCTAAACCGCAGTCTGCCCATGATACTTCATGGATTTGAGGTCTGCAGAGCCGTTCTAGCCGGAAGTCCTGCACTCCCTCAGCATCTTGAGCCCTGCGCTCGAGTACTCATTGCCTTCCCGGGCTCTATTACGTACTATAGCCTTACCTGTAGTCTCCATTGTAGTTCCTTTTTTTGATTTAACCTATTTTGTATCAAGGATCCTAAAAGGTAACCCCAAAAAGGAACTACAATGGAGACTATAGGTATGCTTCAATGGGCCGTTTCCTGCGCGGGTCTCGCAGAGTCTCCGTGAGCGCGTCTCAGATGCCAGGTCTCGCTGCTCGAGCCCCGCCCACGGCGACGCCTTGGATGCGGAGCAAACGGGCTTCAGGATATTAAGGCAGGAGGATGAGAGCCACTTCGAATCCCCAGAGCATCTGCCCATGTCGAAGGACAGCGCCTTCTTTCAAGCCCATCGAAGACAGCAATCGGTCCAAAGCACCGCCTTCGACGACAGTGTAGCCGGAAGCTCGGAGTGTGTTCGCTGACAGCACGGCAAGGCAACAGCTCCAGGATCAAAAGCAAGGAGCTTCACTCTTGTACTTGTTCGCAGCTTGAAGTTGTCCGTCAGAAGCATCAGTGATTCAGTGATTCAGGCCACTGGCAGCCACTCACTCGGCTTGGACTTTGCTGCGCCCGAAGTTGACCATGACGACTACTTCACCATGCTTCTCAGTGGCTTCCTTGCATTTAAGCGGGCACCAGCCGCACGAAGCCCGCCCTAGCCCCTAAACCCTAAACCCCTGAACCCCAAAACCCTAAACCCCTAATTATTATTATTATTGTTATCTAAACCCCTAAACCCCTAAACCCTGCCGCGTGCTTTCGAGGTCGCAAGGTGGACCCTCCGCTCAAAGCAATCGTGGCCCAGGCCTCCCTCTGCGTTTGCATCATTTGTTGGCCCCATCCTAGGGTTTAGGCGTTTAGGGTTTAGGGCGTTTAGGGGTTTAGGGGTTTTGGGTTTAGGGTTTAGGGGTTTAGGGTTTAAGGCGTTTAGGGTTTAGGAGTTTAGGGTTTAGGGTTTTGGTCAAAGTCCTGGCTGTCAGGAGCCTGACAAGGAAGGTGAAGCGCTGACCGACTGTGAAGAGATGCTGTGCAATGGAGCCAATGGAAAGTCCGAGTTCGCTTCGCCATAGGGACGAGGCCCTTCCCTAGGTTCCCCCCCCAAAAAAGTAGTCCGCACTTTGGGTTCCATCGTTAAGGATCATATGGGAACCCTGATTAAGAAGCCTTGGGTCTTTATTGGGGTTCTTTATATGGATCCCAATAGTTCGGGGTTAGAGGGCCAAGGTTTCATATTCAGGTTTCTACCCATAGGCTCCTTAATAGTTCCTTTTTGGGGGATTAGCTTATAGGATTCTAAATACGAACCATAAAAAGGAACTACTTAGGAGCCTATGGGTAGATTGAAGAGAGTTGGATTGAGTTCCCGCCTCCACTGGGGGGAAAGCTTGCCAGGACGTGGCGCCTGCTAAGCCGCCTTGTAGGTTCTGAGCTCGCATCCCATTCATTGGGGTTTGGGTTTAGGCCCTAAACCCCGTGCTACTGAAATGCGCCGTGGTACTCGAGGCGCCAGCGAATTGAAAGTTCCTGTGGCCTTGAAATCCACTCCCGACTCCTCCAGTGAATCCCGGCGCCTTGGGGGAAAGGCGCCAAGGTCCGACAGCCGCCAGTAGCCGCCAGTACTTGGGCAGAAGTTGGGCCGTGGTCTTGAGTCTCTAAACTCTAAACCCTAAACCCTTGCAGTTAGTACCTAGCAGACGGAAAAAGGCCCTCAACAAACCCTTGCATTTTTGCCAATTTTGCCTGTCATCCTGCATCCGCCAATGCTGTTTGCTCGTGGTCCTTGGGGCTGTCGTTGTTGCAATGGATTGCTCAGGCTTTGGGGTAGACTCCCAGAGGACCCCACGGTTTAGGGTTTAGGGGTTTGGTTCTGGTTCCTTGGACTGGATAGGAGCCAGTGACACTGAGGGATGCGGCATCGAGGGAGACCACAAAGGGGCTTTCGTCTGCCAAGTCTGCTGAATGCTTGCTTGCCAGGGTCTGCCCATCGAGCCCGTCGCTTCGAGCTCCCAAGTGCAAGACCCCGGATCCGCGTGGTCAAGTTCGAGATCATCTGGGATCTGAGTGAGGAGCTGACCTGACACCTCCCACCCTGACCCACATCTCGCAGGAGATGGTCGACAGCCTGGGCAGCAGTGGAAAAGATCTCCTATAGGGCACACACAGCAAACTGCAGGTTGCCTGGGCCAGCAGCTGTGCAGCTCAACTTCCCCGCCTCTGCTCGAACACGTCTGACGTTCCTGTCCACCATGTCACCAGGACCTTGAGGATTGTGCAGAAATGCTGAAGCTGGCATCGAGGCGCGGTGCAACACCTGTTCTGTGACAGAGTTGAGCAAATATCAACCAACAGTCCATAAGATCTCCAGCAGGATGCTCAGGCAGACAGCAACAAAAACACAGTCCCAAGCCCCAAACCCTAAGGGCATCCCTAGGGCCCTAAACCCTAAACCTTAACCCCTAGCTATAAAGCCAAGGGCCCTCGTCAACCTTATTAGACCCGACTTCCATTTTTGGTCGTGTAACCCTAAACCCGACTTCCATTTTTTAAAATGTGTGGAAGGCACCGTGCGACCCTGCTGGAGCGTGCCACCATGGCCTTGATGGCATCGAACTGGGACTCTCCTGAGGCAAGTACCCGGCTTTTCGGCTTGGGAAGTTTAGGGCCTTGGGGGGTCTTTAGGGTTTTTTTGGGTTCAGGGTCCAGAGCTTAGGGTATCTGGGGTTTGCTTTGGCGTTTAGGGCCTTGGGGGGTCTTTAGGGTTTTTTTGGGTTCAGGGTCGCAGGGCTTATAGGGTATCTGGGGTTTTAGACACTTCCTGGAAGTGAATGGCTGGTTTGTGAGCCTACGAGAGGTGCTTCGGTGAATGTCTCAATGTTTGCTTGTTTTCGATACCCGAGCGGCTGCCCTCGTGCACACCAACAGGCAATTGACGAGAGTCTACTAGCATCCCGTCGGGGCTTTGTACGTCCGTCTAGAGGACGGACTACTGGACACTTCCTTGTCTGACCCAGCTCACATCTGATCCACTCACACCAGTTGAAGGGGGGGGGGCCGGGGGCCGCCACACCCCCTCCTTAAAGTCCACCTATGGCGACTTCCATTTCGTCTTTACGCGGCCACGTAGCAGGCTTCAAGTCTGATGCGTCGGTGATTTGCTAAGCTGTCACCAGGACTGTTCCGGTCCGGTCAAGGTACTCCGGCGAGGGTGTATCTGTATGTGCACAGTGTAATGCAGAAGGATACTAGCAACTTCTAGGTTTTAGGCTTCATGGCCATACCTATGTACCTGCATCCACGCAGCCGAACATGCGTGCAATAACGACCGAGCTCTGTCGACTCCTCCTTTGTTTGCGCTAGCGGCCAAGTACAATTTCAAAGGAGAGTGTGCTTTCAACTACGACCGCAAGTTTGTCTAATCTTGCTACGCATGCTTGACACACATACAGACACACACACACACACATGCGCACACACACATGCGCACACACACACACACACATGCGCACGCACGCGCACACACACAGACACAGAGACACAGAGACACAGACAGACAGAGCGAGGGAAGGTTGCCGGTTGCCATGGTATGCACAGGCACAAGGATGAGACTGTGTATGCTGCGACTACGGAGCATACTCGGCAGGCTTTTCTTTTGGAATCTCGTTGAAGAGGGCTCGAATGCCCCCACCCCCCTACCTACCTCCCCCCCCACCCCCCCCCCACCCCCTGAGATGTAACTTGGGCGTGTGAACCCTCGCAAGGCGTACAGGCACACAAGCACACAAGAGTCTCTTTTACAGCTATCCGGCTGAAGTCCAGATACTCTGCTATGCTAGAACCTTGAGCACACAGACACGGA